AAGTTCTAATTTTAAACTGCACCAAACTTGTTAAATTGTACAAATATATATGTTTGTATTTCTATTGCTAAACATAATTAAGCTTCAAAATTAATTTATTAGATTCGTTATTTTTATGACAATAGCTTCTCAATATTCAGGAAGAATGCTTTCGACCCAAACTGGGGAACTGATCGTAGAAGTTTACAATGTTAACAGCCAGCGTAAAGGAAGCACATTGATATAAATGCTACTAGAAAGCCTGTGTAACCCCAACACATCAATTACTGTAGCATACAAGACAAGCTACAAAGCCTCAAAAAATTCCTCCAAAACTGGGCTTTGACTTATTCAATAAATATCAAATTCAGAACAGGAAACATTCAGCCCTTTGAGTCAGCTACACCAGTCAACTAAGATTCTGAGGAAGAGTCACTCAACCTGAAATGCTAACTCTGACTTCTCTCCACAGATGCTGTCAGATCTGCTGAGCTTTTCCAGCAATTTCTGCTTTTGACCCAAGAAACATCGTTTCATGGAAACAATGAGAGCAAATTAATAGGATTATTAGAATAGCTGCAGGTAAAATGTTTTTGTATTCTATATACTCAGAATAAATATGTTCTTACCTTAAAAAAAATTCTAAAAGGAGGATGCAGTATCCACAGTTAACTAAAAAAGTTAAGGAAAGTATTTATACTTGGAGAAAAAGCATATAGCTGTGCAAAGATTAGTGGAAGAACATATGATTAGACAAAGTACAGAAAACAGCAGAGAATGACTTAAATGTCAATCATGAGAAACAAACCAGAGTATGAGAGGAAGCTAGTTAGAAATGTAAGAACAGATAGCAAGAGTGCCTACTCGTATAAAAAGAAAAGACTATATAATCTGAGTGTTGGTCCTCTATAGAGTGATAATAAGGAGTTGATAGCAGATAATAAGGAAATGTCACGTGAAATAAACAAATATTTTGCCACTGTCTTCTCTACAGAGGATACGAAGAACATTCATTAACAGCTGTAAATAAGTAGGTGGAAAGAATAAAGGAACATAGTGAAATTATGATCACCAGGGAAATTGGACAAAGCAAGTTGTTGGCGGTGCAATGTCACAAGTCTCTGGATATAGGTGGACTTAATTCCAAGGTCATAAGAAGGGTAATTAATATGGTCGTAGATTTCTTGAAGTTGATGTTTATCTTTAAAAATTCCTAGATTCAGTAAAAGATTCCTTCAGACTGGAATGTAGCAAATATAACCCCCTCTATTTAAGAAAGGAGGGAGGCAGAAAACAGGAAATTAAAGCCATTTATCTTGATGTCTGTCATAGTGAATGTTTTGGAATCTAATTAAAGCCGTTACAGTTGGGTACTTAGAAAAACTCAAAGTAACAGGAAGAGTCACCATGGATTTATGATGGAAACCATGTTTAACCGATTTATCAGACTTATTTGAAGGAGTAACATATGCTCTAGCTAAAGGGGAACATGTAGACATGCTGCACTTGGATTTCCAGAAAGCATTTGACATGGTGCCACATAAAAGGATTTTGTGGAAAATAAATGCTAGTACTGCATATTAGCATGAACAGAAGATTGGCTGGCTGGCACAAAACAAAAGACTGCATAAATGGGTCTTTGTCTGACTGGCAGGATGTGATGAGTGGAAAGTTAACCTAAGTTTGTGCTGAGGTCTCAACCTTTTATAATTTACATAAATGGCTTAGGTGAGGGGAGCAAAAGCACTGCAGCTGAGTTCACAGATGACACCAAAATAGGTAGAAAAATATGTTGTGAAAAAGTCAAAAAGGGCCGGAGTTAGGTCCATCACAACACGAGGCAGCAAGAAAGAACAAGTAAAAATGAGGGAAGACAGTAGAACAGAACCAGAGATCTGCTTAATTGATATGTCCATTGTAACTTTAAAGGGGGACCAGAGAAGTTCTCAGACAGGCCTGGAAAAAGTGAAGGTGAAGCCTCACTTAGTGGGAAAGTCAAATGGGTCCAAAACAGAAGCTAGAGAATATGAACAGGTTCAGGGAAAAACCATTCCCAAAACAAAGGGAAAAAGGAAGGGAACATTCTCCATAGCAGACACCTCTCGTGGAGATTACAAGGGGCATATCATCACATTCAAACCAGAGTTACCCACTGGGAGATCAAAGAAATGAGCCAAGTTTCAAAACTCATGGTTAAATCAGCTTAATGTAAAGTTTAATGTGAGTGACGTGTAAGATACACGTCCAGATCCATACACAACCTGAAATGAAATTTGGAAGAATGGCTGATTCAGACACACGGATAATAGTTGAAAGGAAGTGGAAATGTTCCTTGTTAAGGCGTCGAATGAGACAAATAATGAAAAGGAACTGTGCACCAGGACAAATTTGAGATAGCGTGAGGTGGTGTCGATGGAGAGAGAGATGACAGTGTGCACGTGATGGCATTGAGTATGGATCTCAACTATCTGAGGAGTATTCTGAAGAAATTCCAAAGAAGAGTCTTTGGACTTGAGATGCTAACTCTGTTTCACTCTCCACAGATGCTGCCTGGCCTACTGAGTTTCTCCGGTGTTTTCTGTTTTTATTCCAGATTTCCAGCATCTGCAGTATTTTTCTCTCACTTAGATTTTAGAACAAGTTAGTGAATATATAAGACTCAGAGGCAGCACAGACTGAGTGACAAATCTATTTGACACTCTCAAATTGGGTTTTTAACCAAGGTTTAGACAAAGAGAGTAAATATGGGATGTCTGTGCATTGTGATTTCATTTGACCTTGTAATGGAACTGAAAACAAGAGGGGCAACTATTGTGAAGTGTCCATTTGTTTTCTGGATGGGAAATGTCACAATGATATAAATACAGACTATTATCTTTGAATTCCATGGTCTGATTTAATACCTTGGATTTTCATAGACTGAAATGATTTTAAGTAGGGACCAAAATCACTAACTTAAAATGGCCGCAGGCAATAGCTGACCTACAAGTTGGCCACATTTCATGAAATGAAAGATTTAAGAGCCAGCCTGAGCTGAAATGAACATGTTTCTCTGAGGCATATGAACCTCACCCTCCTTTCCAAACTCTGGAAAACAATGGTTTTCAAAAATACTGAGAAGGTCCTCATCTCCTGTCAGATTTGCACCATCATCAGAATTGTCACATGCCAGGTTTGAAACATAATCTGCATTTGTAAGAGTCCATTAACGCTGTACAACCAGATTGTATTTCAAACAGCATCTTGTGTGGAAAAAGTAAAGGTGATGGATGCAGAACCACAAAAAGGCTATCTCTTCCTCTCAAGAAGAAAAACTAGTGACAACACTAGCTGAAAAGAAATATCAAGAGACCAAGAACTGCAATATTAATTACTGCTAATAGACCCTGAAACCAGTTGTGGTCAGGTTAAGAACTTATGCTTCAAAGCATATATATTTTTATCTTTTAATACTGGGCACCATCCCTTTATAAAAACCAAAAGAACTGTGGATGCTGTAAATCAGGAACAAAAAAGGAAGTTGCTAGAAAAGCTCAGCAGGTCTGGCAGCAAATGAAGGAAAATCAGAGTTAACATTTCAGGTTCAGTGGCCCTTGAGTTCTGAGGAAGGGTCACCGGACCTGAAATGTTAACTCTGATTTTTCTTCACAGATGCTGCCAGACCTGCTGAGCTTTTCCAGCAACTTTTGTTTTTGTACAATCTTTTTATAGCTTTGCACCTCTGTATGTATGAGATTGCTTGAAGACAATATGCTTGACATTGTATCTTTATTCTTCTTTTGGGTTTTTTTTAAATTCATGAAAACCTTGTGATTGGCTTATTATGCCATAGTAAAATGTAGCTGATTACATTTTAATAAAAGTAAAATATTGCAGATGCTGGAAATCTGAAACAAACACAGTAAATGCTGGAGAAACTTAGTAGGTCTAACTGAGTTTCTCCAGCATTTTATGTGTTTGTTAACTACAGTTTATCCAGAGAATGGTACAGCCAAATGCTAAAAATAGAACTTAAACCTTTAATGCGACCAACCAAGGAGGTTGAGAAAAAAAGAAACCCATTCACTCCTCCTCACCCTGTCATAACTTATGAAAAGCCCATCATAGATGCAAAAGCAGACCTTGCTAAAAATTTACATAAGCAGGTCCCAGAAATAGATTGTGATGTTGGATACCTGAAATATGTGTGTTCAAGAATTTTTTCCATATACTTAGTCACTTAAATACTATTGCCAGCTGGATTTATTGGGACTGCATTATTCGTACACTTAAAGTAACACTTAATTTATTTAAATAGATTAACATGCCCATGCAGTTAAAAAAGGTAAATTATTCTAGTTATAAAGAACCAAAATAAATTTTCTTAAAATCTTTGTAACTTTATTGAGTATAGATGATGAATGTCTGATCATTAAAAAATGTGAACAAGAAGTATCCCCCTATATTGGAAAAATGGGAGAAATTTGGTCATGTGCCTGCAATTTACATTGTGTCCATTATATTAGCAAAATTTTAATTTTAAAAGCATTTTGTCAAAGGGATTAAGATGTTCACTTTGGATAAATGAAATCACAACTTATTATGGAAATAGGATAAAAAATTGATCTCATTTCTTCAGTCATCCATATCCTAAATCCATAATTTCTGATAACTCAAGGAGTTTCTGTGAACCTATGTATATTTATGAGAGGCAGAGGAACTTAAGGATTTCAAGGTCTGTCTGCTTATATCAAGTTTTTCTATCGTGGCATCATGCTGACTGTATGCAAAACCATGTTTTTGAGCCTGGAAAGATAAGTTCACTATATGCCAAATAAACTTATAGTCCATTATCTATGTTATGTGCACTGGCAACGATAATATGATTGATGAACCATAGCTTAAGAGAACAGTCTGGATCTCCCGACAGCTAAAAGCTAATCAGAAAATTATCTCTCATTTCTTTGAAAAATAATTTTCTGTGCTAAATAGTCCAGTCAAAAGCACTGTAGTAGGTCAAAGAACATTAATTGCATTCTTACCTGAACAATAAAACGTCCTTGATGATTTTTAAAAATTCTATATGTATATACAGTTCTTTGAAAGCTAAACAAGAAAGAAATATTATCCATGAGTATCTCTGCACCATATTGATTAGTAAACTGCAAAATTACTAAATGTATACAACTAGTGTTGAGTGAATTTTAAGACCAGCATATGCCTTGCATCTGATATTTTTAAGAGACCGTTAACACTATAAGCCAGAAATATCTGTTCAACATTGCTGCTAAAGCAGGGCTCAAGTGGACATAAGTACAAACCAGAGATTCAGTGATATTCCTTTAATGGTTAGTCTTTTCTTTTCCGTACCTCATATCCATGCCTAATGAGTCTTCACACCAGCAATGGAAATTCTTTATTTCTGTTTTATAAATCTATGCTGGCATTCTGACTTGTAAACCTGGAGTTGAGATCCCACCTGACTCAAGCATGAATTAAATTATGATTTTCTCATTCACCAAGTGTCTTTGCATCTGTATCAAGTGATATTAATGGAACCACTTTCACAGAACTACAGTTAATAAGCAGCCTAAATTTCCTGAAACTCTGGCATTCCATAAACTTCTGGCAGTCATTATATGTCCTCCCTGATTCATACTACAGCCATAAACCACTCTCACAAGTCTGATAATGAATGTATGTTTTGGGCTTCCTTCAAATTAATAGACTTCTTTCCTCCAAAAAAAATACAGCATTCAATGCCAAAACTACACTCCATTTACACTTGCATATAACATAATTTCAACCAAAACAACATTATCAGTAAATGCAAAAGCATTTATTTTGGATTCTGTAATTTCAAAAGAAAGAATAGTTGAAAAGAAAGAATATGATCTTTTCTTACTCTTTTAAAGTAGTATAACATAATTCTCTGGATTATCAACTCTCAGTCCTTCACTATCTTGCTGTATTTAGTAGATTTATGATAAAGAGAGAAAAAAACGGATTTGAGAGAAAATGCAAAGTAAAAACGTCAAGCCACATTTTAAATTATTTCTTAAGGTTGTTGACTTGTTCGCTGAGCTGGCTTGTTTTTGTTCAGATGTTTCATCACCATGCTAGGTGACATTGTCAGTGGAGCCTCCGATGAAGCAATGTTATTCTACTCCGCTTGGAATTTATACTGTCTGGTCCGTTATGGTGAGTACTGTCTTTTCCGGCTTTGATCTGTGTGGATTTTTATATGGGGTCTTGACAAGAACATATCGGAACTGACAACAAGACTCCTCAGACCACTAGGAATCATGGTGGCCCACAAGCCCACAGCTACTCTATGACAAACACTTACAAAGATTAAAGACCCCATTCCCACAACATGCAGAACGAATGTGGTTTACAAAATACCGTGCAACGACTGCCACAAGCATTGTATCAGACAGACAGGAAGGAAACTAGCCATCAGAATACATGAACATCAGTTAGCAGCAAAACGGCACAACAAACTCTCCTTAATATCGGTACATTCAGACAATGAAGGCTATCAATTTAACTGGGACGAAGTAACTATAGTAGCCCAAGCCAAACAGTGACATGCACGGAAATTCCTCGAGGCATGGTTCTCCCCGCTCCTTCAATCAACAAACATATAGATTTGGACCCCATATATAAACCCAAACAGATCAAAATCAGAAATGAAAATACTCACCATAACAGACCAGATAGTAGAAGTTCCAAGCGGAGTAGAATAACATCATTTCATCAGGGGCTCCACTGATGATGTCACCTAGCATGGTGATGAAACGTCTGAACAAAAACAAGCCAGCTCGGCGAGCAAGTCAACAACCTCACCCACAACCCAAGCTACAAATCTTTGCCAAAACTTTAAATTAATTCTTATAAAAGAATTGTTATGCATCTAAGTACAAGTAATTAAAAGTGATGGTAACTGAAACATGCAAAGCCGAAGAGTCTCAGATTTAATTCCCAACGCTGAATTAGTTGATCTGAGCTGAGATATTCAAATGTTTTTGAATTACAAGAGAATGAGAAAATTGGTCAGTGATCTTATTTCTGATAAATAACTAACATGCGTAGCAGATACGTTACTTGAGGACAAATAAGAGTAGGGCACATTTGTCTGTTTCCTTTGGAAAATTATGGCTTTGCTGAAAAAATGTTTGACTTTTTCTTACTGTCAGTAAAGGTTAACCTGTAAATAAAACTTAAGTTTGTTGCACTTGTACTTACTAGACACTGAGGCACAAAGCATTAGGGATGGTCTCGCTCTCTCGTAGTAAATAACTTCCATCTTTCCCCTCTGCTGCAAATAAAACTTCGCAGGCCTTTTTGCTGATCTTTCCATGAAAATACGGGAGTGATGTCACATCAGACATTTAGCCCAGCTTTTTTCTTATTTCTTCGCTTCCATTTACATTTGAAATCCTGTTCTTTGTCCCAAAAACCCAGTAATAACTGATGAATAAGAAAGAATAAGAATGTTACTTTATTCTTCTTGTAACAAATAAAAGGAAAGACTACTAATGATGCTCGAAGTTCTGTGAATTTAAATCAAAAAGCATAGATTAGACCATAGGTACTGGGATATCACGATGAGATATTGGTTTGAGGGTAAAGTCAGATTACGGAGGAATACCGGCTAGGATTCTGTTCGACCAACAGGTGTCTTGCCCACTGGGCAGAAAACTGACAGAGAACTCCTCTCAGTCTGTCAGAGAAACTCAGTTAAATCAAACGCTCTTCAGGTACTTAAGTGACCACATGTAGGCCTTCCTCATGATTGAGTTTCCTGGCAGTGGGAGGCCCTCCTAGCATGAGCTGCCAGCAGATCATTAACTGGTTGTTCCATTCCTGCCAGCTCCAGTGAGAGTGGAAACTGGTATTGCATCTACCAGAGGCCCAAGATCATCATAGCACCCAAGACCAAAGAAGAGTAATGTTTGGAGCTGTGGAGTGAGGACTGAAGTGGGGTAGGGATTTGTGTCATTTTCAACAGCTATATCCTGACCGGGTCACAATCCCTAGACTAAGCACCATAACTGAGTCGGAGAGACATGCTCACTAATCCATCCACAACCTGGGAGGTCCCTGACAGGGTTTCCTGAGCAGCCTTCTGTGGGTGTGGGAAAACTATGTGGCTCCCATTTAATCCCTGAGACACCTTAAATCACAGTGGGCACAAGGATAATGGATGTCTAGGCATTCGGAGTGGTGTTTTGTCCTTGCCCAGAGACCAATGTGGGCCTATCCCTCTATTAGCTGGGCAAAACAGAGAAACATGGTTATATATAGGCAGAAGTTATCAATTCAATAGCTGTACAAATAGGTGAAGTAGATGTGATGCATTGGAAGTTTGAGGTTTGACAACTATTCTAATTTGGTGATTGTATACCCATCGGCAGAGATACACATTGCATTTGTTTGAAAACTTGGCTGTCTTGTTGCCACTCAGCATCATTGCACAATCACTATTGGAATGTTTTCCTCACCCTCTTCATGCAAGATTGTTGTGCTGTACATTAATCTGAGCTTGCTTCTGTGTCTTTGCAATGCAGCACCATGATCAGCAATGATGCCACATGATCTGGGCTGGTTGCTGACCGTAGAAATTTTTGTTTGTATCCAAGTGTCTGTATTTGGACTTTGGTAAATCTGTCATAATGTATTTCTTTCATTCTCCTCTGTTTTTGAAGAATGTCAATGTCTTCAAAACAGTTAAAAAAAGAGTTGCTAGACAATGTCTTTGTACATGTCTTCCAAACATATGTTGCACTGGAGATGATAATCTTTTCTCTATTGTCATTGGATGAAACTACAGCAATGCAATGTGTAAATCTTCCTTTGTTGTTCAATCCTTAATGATCATTGCTTTGATAGAATATACTAAACATTCTGATGGACTGTTTGAGCTTGGATTGTGTAATGAAAATATGATATTGGTCACTCCCAGATTGAAACAGTTTGCCAGTATATTGTGGTCCATTGTCAGACTCTATCTGTTCTGGTGTACTGAATAACCTGAAAATAGTGTTCATCATGTCCGCAACAGTCATGTTCATCTTATTGCTATGTTGTTGAATAATGAGAAATTTAAAACAAACAATTATACACAAGGATGTAATGTTTCCCATACATTGTGAATTGAACTGATGCCACTTTCTTCCCAGGAGTGGATGAAACATCATATAGATATAAAGACTCCCTCCGCTGCTGTGGGTGATAAGATTGGCATGCTTCACATGCATTCACAAGTTGTTTAATATCTTGATTCATCCCTGGTCAGTACACAGATTGCATGTGCTAAGACTTCTGATGTGTTCAATATCCATATGTCCCTGGTGTTACATGAACATAATACTTTGGAATAATGCTTTCAGTAGTAAGACTTGTTGCCTTTGAAAATGACTTATTGTGATATACCATGTTTGTCTCTCAATGGCCAAAATGAACAAATCTGTCAGGCCATCGTGGATAAGGATCTTTTGCAACTCTTGTAGTTGCTCACCTTTGGCAGTTGCTTATTGCAACTGTTCACACTGGCCAAAGTGTAACAGATCAACCATGAGAATGTCTTCACCTTTGTATTCTAGAACATCAACATGTTGATCAAAGGAAAATCTTGTTCTTTGTCTGGGTTTGTTACTCTACTCAACTAACACATAATTATCCTATATCTGGTTTATATCAAAATTCAAAGTCATACCCTTGGACCTTGAAATGTAGAGATGCAAATATGATAGTGCACTCATTATTAGTTTTTAGCTTATCATTTCTAATGGCTTGTGATTTGTTTCAATGGTGAATTTCTTGGCAAATAAGCATGTGTGACATCACATAATACTGACTATGAGAGTTAAATTCTCACACTCTATATTGGGATAGTTGGCCTACACAGATCACAAGGTTTTTGAACCAAAGTTTCTCATCTTATAAGTGTCAAATGTCCAGGCCTTTTTGCGATGCATCCATTTTGGGAATCGTGACTTTCTTGGAGTTGTAGAATTACAATAAGTAAGATTTTGGTGTCAGAATCTGATTAAGAAGATAGAAGATGCCACACATAGGGAGGTTCTTATTAAGCAAATCTCACAGCAGAAAATTCTTGCTCACAAAGTTAGGAATCAATGGTAAAGGAAATGTAAAAATCTGAAGCAATGTGACAAATCTTCTATCATGTGGAGTGAGGTGTTAAACATCCTTGATTTTACTGGGATCAGGACAGATCAGTAAATGGACCCAGAAAACTTAATCGAGTTGACATCGACCAGGCACTTTATGCTTTTAAAGTATTATTGCATTTCTGTCATCAGTAGGTGAAAGTTACAGTCATAACTCTGTCTTTGCTTTACCCATGACTGCGATATCGTCATCTACGCAAATGCATCCAGTTACATTTTCAATAATCTAATCCATGTGCTGCTGAATTATGTCTTGGTTAATTGATGGACCAAATGGTAACTGTTGAAAACAGAACGGTTCAAAATGACTTCCAAAATGTCACGAGCTCTTCAAATTCTTCTTTTAAATGATCAGTGGCCACGTCTTGCTCTGAAAAATCTAGCATTTAATTCTTCCAGCATCGGTATTTTATGTGGGCACCTTTTACTTGAAAGATTGAGTTGTCTTATTACTAGTCATGCTCTTGTCGTGCCATCTTTCTTTAAAACACATGATGGACCCACATCAACCTGTGGTGGTGGATCTTCCAAATTATATCATATTTGGCTCTGTCTCATTCAGTTCCATTTAAGCTATCAAAAATTCTGCTTTAAAAACACTGGAAACTACCATCTTAAGTTGTGTGTCCCTGACTTTGTTAGTGTAAATTTCAAATTGCCCCTCTTTTATGAACAGAGTTTTTTGCAGCTTCTGTTGGAGAAACTGGTATGTATGTATTAACTTTTCGAAACAAAGAATTTAGCTTTCCAGCTGGCTGTGCTCAGATCACTGGGTTTGTGTTACAACTCAAAAACTCACTTCAACTTCTTTTTTTAATTGGGCATTTTTGGAATTCTGTTTCATTTGAATAAACTTAATTTTTAATCAAAATCCAATTAGTTCTGTTTAATTGATCATCATTGCGACAGATCTGTACAGCAGTCTGTACAGACAGAAATGGATGCTGCTTAAAGATGAGGAACACTCCCTTTGCTGGAATTCTCTGTTGTCCAAAGTTATTGTCTGGTTGGTCTTTCATGAATTTCCAAACAGCTACCATGAATATATGTTCTTTTTAGACAGATATGAGTGCTTCCATAGTGTGAGTTTACCACCAAAATGGTGTTTTACCTGATGTGGCAATGCTAATGTTATCTCTTGTAACATTGGAAATGTGTAATGGATATTGTGGTGTTGGAAGAATCCAACAGACATTAGTTACAATGTACAAAAACTGAATTAGCGCCTGGGCTAACAGTAAGTTATTCTGTTTCAACAGAGGAGCATGCTTCCAGTAGTGTCATGCTTCAAGTGATCTGAGGTAAGATGAAGCATGAGCTCTTCATACCCTCAGATTTTATCCTATGATGCAGTGATCATATTATGAGCATTCTCCTTAAAGACACACTGACATATTGACTGTGAGACGTAACTTGACCAGCCATCACTTAAAGTTGAGGTTGTGTCCCTGAACATTATGATTTTAAGTGAAATAACTTTAGGTGAAACATGGGTTTCCATAGGCACCGACTAAAAGTTACAGTTAGGTTCTGTAGGACTTTCCTTTTCAGAAAGAGAACACATTAAAGAATTGTACCTGTAAGCTGAAGTACTTTACAATGCTAAATAAAATGACTTTTAAACTAAAATGAATTTTAAAATAGAACAGAAAAAATATAATCTTTTACTTACAGTGCCTCTCTATTCACAATTTCACAACCCTGACTCCAGTTGAGAACTGAACAAAATTTAAAAGTCCTTTCAGCGTCTGCGGATGGCAAGTGGAATTAACATTTTGGGTCTGGGTGACCATTCTTCAGAACTTGCTCTCCACAGATGCTACCAGACCTGCTGTATTTTTCCAGTAATTTCTGTTTTTGTTTTTGTTTCTGATTTCCAGCATCCACAGTTCTTTGGTTTTTTTTAAAATTTTGATTCCAGAGGTGATGTGGGAGTGACTTCCCTTGACATCAAGGCCATATTTGACTATGGCATCAAGGAGTCCGAGTAAAACTGGAGTCCATAGGAATCAGGGGAAAATTCTCCATAGTTAGAGTCATACTTGGCACAAAGGAGGTCAATCATCTCAGCTCCATTCATCAGGGTAGTGGCCTAGGCTCAAACATCTTCAGCTGTTTCATCAATAACTTTCCCTCTATCACAAGATCAGAACTGGGGATGTTTGTTGACATTTGCACCATGTTCAGCATCCTTTTCA